AACATGTTGACTGCGGTTCCTCTTCAGGTACGTAAACTGTCTATCATCCGGGAACTGCAACCTGTATGGATCCACCAGATCCCTACTTGTCATCATGCTGTGGATTGGCAATGCTTCCTCTGCCAGACCTTCTTCCCATTGTCTGCCTCCTACAGACATTCTATCCAAACTAGGATCTAGGGCCGCATTCCAATCCCCTGCCATTATTAAGTGTCTATCCGCCTCTAAAATGTCATGAAGTTGTCCCACAAACTCTGCCCTCTGTTGGAATCCGTTAGGACAGTATGTTGCTATCAATGAGTACGGCTCCTCGTGGAACTCAAAGTTAACCTTCACCCATCTTCCCTCCATTTCGTCTACAGTAATGTTGTTCATTACCGTCTTACCTGCTGCCTGTGATCTATTATTTTGAAGTATGGCCACCCCCGTCGAGTGAGGTCTGATTGCCGGTGACCACCAAGCCTGTTTGACTCTTTGAAGTTTCTGCATTATCCTGTTTTTTGTTTGCTTATGTTCATCTGAATTTGTGAGGTGCGTTTCTAGAAAACATACAAAGTCCGGTGGCGAAATGTCGAACCAGTCCGTATAATTGATTATATTATGCCATTTGTCTTTATTATCTAACACTCCTGACAATCCATTTACATTCCACGATGTGATTTTAATTTACGAGGGTGCATACCTACCCAGTTCTCTCCTTGCCTGCTTCCTTGGTCTACCTTCCCCCCTATCATCCATGAACTGACTACCCTTGCCCTTGCCCTATCCACTGGCCTCCTACATATTTCAAGAATCCCGCAGCGCTATATCTATTCTTGTTGACAACAGCCCTATCCTCTTTTCCAAGAACTCTGGCTTCCACGCGAAGGCATCCACCTTTATTGCCACTGCTGCACTACGGGCCACCCATTCTGCCGCCACCTCACCTCCCAACAACCCATAGGGGATGGTTTCTACTACCTGCCAAGGCATCCAGACCAGGCCCTCCCTCAAATCCGTCTTTTCCCTCATATGCAAAAGCAGTGGTCTGAAGTCAGCCGCTGCTTCCTCTCCTCCCGCTTCCGAGACTTCCATAGCCTCCTCTCTCCTATCCCCCAATACATATGCCCGAGACGGTACTCCCTCTCCAATTAATTCCTACAAATCCTTGCCTGTGTAGGCTCTAGCAGGAGCTGTGATAAGCTAGAGAGATCTGTGAATTGCTACCTCCCAATCCAAATGTTTTTCATTCCATCGGCACGGTAAAATAACCCTCCTTGTGGCACCATTCTTGGCCTCCAAACGTGTTGCCGCTTCAATGTCCTTCAACTGCCCTTCAGCTATTTTTTGCAAATTTATTGTTTCCTCCTCAAATTCCCTGTTCTCGTCCTTCAGTGCATTTACTTGGGCCTCCAACATTGCTGCTTGCCTTTGCAATTCCTGTTTTCTTGCCTTTGCAATTCCTGTTTTTCATGCTCCTCTCCCTCCTCCTTCTGCTTATCTGCTTCCTTCATAGGCTGGTCTTGTGTCCCCGTTGGCTGTTCCTCCCTGCTTCCCCGCTCGTCCTCCATCCGTGCCTTCCTCTTCCTGCCCCTTTGCTGCCCTTGTTCTGATATGTCTTTGGCCATTGGAAGATTTTAGCATATTCTTCGTTTGAATGTCGTTCTTGATAGGGCGAGCTTTTGTCGCATACTGAGCCGCATAAAATTCCTTTACCTCCCCTTCCCTTTTTAACAACTAAAAACGGTTTTCTGAAGTGATGTCTTCCGCCACCTGGGTCGCCTGCTTCAAGTTCCTCAAGTGTTTATGATGAGCCAGCCTAATCTCACATTCGATCGTTCTCCCCCATTCCAGTTGTTCTACCATCTGGACCCACTATTCTAGCGACAAGTCCTCCTCCCCTGATTCTTCCTTCTCCTCTTCTTCCCCCGATGTGTCCTTATAGTCTGGGTCTGTCGTAAAATCTCGCTGGTCCTCCTCCGCCTGTTTTATTTCCTCCTCGGTCATATTTTCAACGTTGTGCATGTGTTTTATTCTCTCCTCCTTGGTACCAGCTGGTAGCTCTAGTGTGGTGGTTCCCCGGGACGCCTCTGCGGAATCGCCTTCCTGATTGCTGGCCTTCGTCCCTGTTGTTTGGGTACTTTCCTCCTTACCTTGTATTGCTCCTTCCTCTGATTCTGCCCTTCCCTCCTTGCCCTGTGTTGCTCCTTCCTCTGATTCCGTCGTTCGGCTTGTCTCTGTATTGTCAGTTTTGGTAGCCTTCTGCTGCCTTTTGGCTTGCTGGGATTGACCCTCTTGTTTGTCTACTCCCTCTTTCTCCCCTGAAGGACCTTTCCTCTTTAAGGATTGTTGTTGCCCGCTTCTGCTTACCCTATCCTCCTCCTCACATTCCATGTTTTCTCCCTGTTCCTCCTCCATTTTTTCTGCACTGCTCTCTTGTCTTTCCTGTTGCGCTTGCTGTTGCTACCTGGCTGTCAAATTTTCTAGAAAAGCCAGTTCTGCATTTTTCCCAACCTCGTGAAGTGCCTCCATGAGTTTCAACCTTTGCTGGTCATCCCATATCATTGTGTCATCAACCATTGGCTTCGTCACATAACATATCTCTTTATCCTCCATCCTCCTTGCTCCTGTCTGTCTCCACCTGCTATCGTACGGAGGATATATATCTGGTTTGACTGTGGGTTCTCTTTTGAGAACCCACACCCACCTTGGTGCCTCCAGGTTGTCATCAAATATCCACCCTCTATACTGCGGTGCGTTAATGTACCAGACCCCAGGCTTGGTTTCACACTCCTGCAACATCGACTGACGCAATGGCGTCTGTTTGTTGCCTGCTCCTTCCTGCGGACAAAAAGATCCCAGATGGCCTCTTCCCCTGCACTTAAAACAAAAGGGATTTGTTTTGGTCGATATGAAAATTGTAATCCTCTGGCCACTTTTTTTGAAGATCCACTGGTCCGGAAACCTCGGCGGTGCACCTAACTTGACCTCCAAGCATGCTACTCGCGAGTCGTGGTTTGGTGCGAGGAAATCTGGATTTGCAGGGAGCCAGTCAATAATAGGATTATTACGGAATTCTTCCACTAGCCTCTCTTGCACAAAACTGTGCATTCCTTAGGACAAATTGTCAAATTGCACCCAGAAATGATTTCTCATCATCGACTGCCTGTGCCTTGACGCCTCTGCCTGTGGGGGGCGTGGTGGTTTCCATGGTTGAATGGTTACCACCGCTCCCTTACATTTCAGAGAGCCAATTGATAATAGGTATTGTGCGTACGTTGGGTCTACACAGACAATCATGACTGAGAACCTTCCCCTCTTATGATAGGAAACGTCCGGTTCCCCCCTGGAATGTTTTCCATCGCCCTGAGCCTGTCCATCACCCATCTTCGCTTCTCATTGAGTGAGAGATCCCTACTTCGTCCGGAGAAATTAAACAGTACCGCATGCTTCTCATACAATTCGTTTAGTGTTTGAATATCCTCCTCAGGATATTCCCACACCTCCACCTCTTCTTCCTTCCCCCCCTCACCCTTGATTACCTCTTTCGTCACCTTAATTTCCGCTGTGATTTTCGTTTTTTCCATTATAAATTCCATTGCCTTCTGTCCCAGCGTGCTCGGCCTCGAATCCCCTGCCTTGATGCTCGTCCCAGACTGTGATGATGAATGAGATGGCTGATTTCCAATTGGTGCCCTCTGACTCTAGGTGAACTCTCTTTTCTCCCTTTCAGTCATGGCCCGCTGAGCTGCTGCCGAATAGGAGATAGCCATAGTTGCTGAGGTGTGCCGATTTATGGCTGCCCGACTCCCCCTCTCCTATTCTGTTTTAATTCGGTATTAAGTTTTAATTCGATATTCCGATTTTCAATTCAATATTCTGATTTTAATCGGGTATTCTGTTTAATTCGGTATTCCGTTTAAATTCGGTATTCTGTTTTAATTCGGTATTCTGATTTTAATTCGGTATTCTGTTTAATTCGGTATTCTGTTTTAATTCGGTATTCTGATTTTAATTCGGTATTCTKTTWAATCGGTATTCTGTTTTAATTCGGTATTCTGATTTTAATTCGGTATTCTGTTTTAATTCGGCATTCTGTTTTAATTCGGTATTCTGTTTTAATTCGGTATTCTGTTTTAAATCGGTATTCTGTGTTATTTCGGTATTGGAATTAGCTTCAATTAGGGTTGTGATAAAATTTCGGTTTTTCGTTCAATTTGGGGAAATTCGCATGTTTTTGGAACCGTAAAACCAGAAATTTCGCGAAATCGCGGAAAAATAGGGTTGAAATCCGAAATTTTCGCGAAAAAATTTTCTTTCCCTAATTGAGAGTTTCCGAATACGGACGCCGGCCTTTTGAAAATTGGGCCTTGTTAGGTTGAAATTCCTGAAATTTCACGTTTTTCGAAATTCGAGTGTTTTTCTTTTCCTGGCTATCCAATTTTTTTATTTTTTTTTCATTTGGCAAACTGTTCGGAATCGTTACCTCAGAACTGCAACTTCCAGGCAGTTCACTAACAACGGTGAACTCCAGGACCATAGGTGATCTCAACGGACACCTAATCTACCGACAATTTTAAAATTCGTTATTGATAATTATTAAATGTTTTGATTAATGATTCTTAATTAATCATTATTCATCATTCTTATTAATTATTAATTATTTTCGTAATTAAATTGTTTGAGGGGGGAAAAGTCATCTTTTTTCTCTTTTGATTAGGAGTCCAGTCCATATTGGGACAGTGGACTGTATGTGAATTGATTGATCTGTTCTACCCCTGTTCCCACCCTCCCTGCCCTTCCCGTATCTGTGACCACCGGGACTTGTCAAGTACCACATCAGCTCGTGCTGATGTCAACGGAACAGGACACCGGGGCACTGCCACGACACAGTGCCAGGCTCGCAGCTCATAGACATTCTGTGGTACCTCCACGAACCAAGTATCAACAACAGCGACTCAGCAAGCGAACGACTCTAGCGGCATCGAGTACAACAATTGCAGTACCGGTTACCACCGGGGCTCTTCCCCCATGTCCGGTCCAAAGGGACCATGAGGCTTGAGCCGTTGTCAGATTACCTTCAGCGAGTACAAGCATTTACGGATGTCGTCGCTACCGCTAAAGCACAGCAGGAGGCAGCAGAGGCGGAACGTCAGCGGCTGGCCGATGAGGCGGCAGCCCAAGCTCGGCGGACTACTGAGGTTGACGCAACGGCTCGAGATAGATGGAATGCCGCCAGCGCTGAGTCCCTGATTCAAAATGAGAATCAGTGGACAATGCTACTCCAAGGCATGATCTTTGTGCATACGGACGTGCAGGCGGATCCGACACCGGTGGAGGCAGAAAGCAGTAACCTGGCTAACCTGATGCTGGGCATGATGAGAGCGGTAATGTGGAATAACACAATGCTGCAGGTTCACCTGCTCGCAGAACGACAACTCAGACAAAACCAGCAGCAAGATGCTGCCACCTTAACAGTTGCCGTCTACGCCGCAACAACATAGCAGCAGCAACAGCACCAGCTGTTGAACTGCATTCTCACACGCGTCAACAGCATCGAGGCTCAGGCCTCAGCAGTGCCAGGCTGCATGACAGACACGACGAAGCAGCTCGGGGAGCGCATCGACCATGTCGTCAATCTGATCGGTGAACTGGGTGACTTCACTAGTCTGGCCACAATCAGCAGCACGGTGGCCGCCATCAAGACGGACATCACCAAGCTGCAGTCACGACCGGACGCCGCGACAAAGGCATACAAGATGCCGCGCTTCAACATCGACAAGTTTGACGACTACAACAAGACGGACGCTTTGACATGGTGGCAAGGCTTCCTCACCGAAGCATCCTGCCACTCTGTATCGGCCGAAAATATGATGAAAGCGCTCTACCTCCAACCCATTGGAGGAGCACAGGCATGGATGAACCATACCGCGTCCAATCTGAAATGCACCATCACCCAACTGCACACGCATATTCTGTGGAACCAGTTCGAGCAAATGTGGTTCACTCGATTCATGGTCCGCAACGTTGTAAAGGCGGCCATGAACGACGTCTACTCCAGTTCACAAGGGAACATGCCAACTCGAGACTGGACGATCAAGTGGCAGAAGATAGTAACCACTCTAGGCTTCGACTTCAGTTTCCCAAACCAACGATCCGAGTTCTTTTCGCGATCGTGCGCAGGACTGCGGACGGCACTCAACAACGAGTACGACTATGCCTCATTCCAGGCTATTATGGATCGTGCGAACCTGGTCATCCAAACGGATGACAAGGCCGCCAACGAACGACAGTCCCAGCCGCACTATGTGGCTAAGCAAGGCTACCAACGGCCGACGCATAACAATGCAGTGGTTCCTAGTGAGCCAATTGACCTCCACGCTGCAGCAGCATCCTCGGGTGATGGAGGAGTTGTCGCAACACTCCCACCAAAGCGTACCAAGAGAGTTCAGAAGAACAAGGCGACACAAACGACGACATCGACGGGAACTGGGCAGCAACCATGGACGGCATACAACATTACCAAGGAAGTATTTGACCTTCGTTAACGGTACGGATATTGCCTATGGTCCAATAGTGTAAACCACACTACCGCACAATGCTCGGACAAGCGCAAGGCACGCGTACCCCGTCCAGCTAACTCGGGAAACTGAGTTACGCAAGGAGAGGGGCAACGCCTCTCCTCACTCCGTCGGAACCGGTTGCCTTGCTAGCAACCGATATCACTACTGGGGAGCATGCGCTAGTCGCTGATTCTCGTGCTACGTACAAGGATTATGCCGCCCAGCTGGTGCCACCATTAGACCAGCCTAGCCACGTGCACTTAGATAGCGTATGCGCAGCCTGTACACCGTCGGCAAGTGAACCGGTCAGTTCGCCACTGATTTTCGAGGACTCGACGGCGTGGTCAAGACTTGAGGAGCTTGACCCGCTCATGAGAGAGGACTTCGCTTGGATGCCTCTACCCTCAACCGAAACCTTGCCAAGGCCACATTGTAACGCCTTGATGGCAAATCTACGCTCCTACTTGCATGCTGCAATACCAGCTTCGTTGACGGACGACGAAGTAGCGGTTGTTGATCTCCGCTCCTATCTTGCGAAGATTGACCGCGAGTATGCCACCCAAAGGTACGCCGAGACGGAAGCGCCTTTGCTCTATATCCACATTCAAATCGGAAAGGCAACTTGCAGTGCCTTGATTGATTGCGGGGCATCTCGCAATTTCATGAGCCAAACCTTTATGGCCCGCGCAGGCCTTGGCCCGCGAGTTCGAAGGAAGACGCAACCTACGCAAGTTACACTCGCGGACGGCCGCACGCAAAAGTCAATCGACCGATGCGTTAACGGCATCCCGGTATACTTTGCGCCCCTTGCGTGCGAGCCGGTGTCTTTTGACATCCTCGACACCAAGTTTGACATGATTCTAGGCATGTCTTGGTTGCGTAGCGCCGACCATCCGGTGAACTTTCATGACCGAACCGTTCACATCCGTGATCGGAACGGAGTGCTAGTCCCATGTACGGTTGCGACCCCTCACACTTCGATTGCTTGTCACGTGGTTTCCATTGCGAGGATTCGCGACGCCATAGCTCGGAATGATGTCGAGGAGATGGGCCTTGTTTTATTACATGCCCTCCCCTCGCCGGACGGACCAGCCGCGTCGCCGCCGGACCCACGTATTACCCACCTCTTGGACGGATATGGAGACGTCTTCGAGGTTCCACCGGAACGGTTCCAAATCGGCCTATACGTCACGGGATTACTTTCGAGGCGGGCGCCGTCCCTCCGCGTGGATGCATTTACCGCATGAGCGAAGAGAAACTCGAGGTGCTTCGCGCACAACTCGATGACCTTCTCGACAAGGGCGGGATTCGCCCTAGTTGTTTGTCATACGGTGCACCAGTTCTCTTCGTCTGGAAGAAGAACAAGGACCTACGGTTGTGCATTGACTATCGAAAACTTAACGCACAAACCGTTAAGAACGTTGACCCTCTCCCTCGGATTGATGACCTTCTCGAGCGGTTGGGCTGCGCGACGTACTTCTCAAAGTTGGACTTGCAGTCGGGTTACGACCAGATTGAAATCCAGCCTCAAGATCTGTACAAGACCGCCTTCAAAACGCGGTATGGGCATTTTGAGTGGGTCGTGATGCCATTTGGGCTCGCCAATGCCCCGACAACTTTCCAAGCAACCATGACAACGGAGTTCCGAGACTTGCTCGATCGTACCGTCCTCATCTATCTCGACGATATCTTGGTCTATAGTTGGACGCTCGACGAGCACCTCGTACACCTTCGTATGGTGTTGGATCGCTTGCGAGCAGCCAAGTACAAAGCAAACCGCGACAAGTGCGAATTTGCCAAGCAAGAGCTTGAGTACTTAGGCCATTATGTGACGCCGAAAGGCATTCGTCCCTTAGCGGACAAGATCCAAGCCATCGTGGATTGACCGAAACCCCGTTGCACGATGGATGTATGCTCTTTCATGGGTTTGGCTGGATACTATCAGCGCTATGTCGAGTCTTACTTCAAAGTGGCAGCTCCTTTGTCGAGACTTCAGTCCTCAAAGGTACCATTCAAGTTCAACAACGCAGCTTGTGGCGCGTTCAATACGTTGAAGGCGGCGATGCAAGACGCACCGGCCCTCCATATCTATGATCCCACCCTACCCACCCAAGTGACTACGGACGCTTCCGGGTACGGTATTGGTGCGGTATTGGAACAATGCCACATGGATGGTCGGCACCCGGTCGAGTCTTTCTCCCAAAAAGTGCCTCCCATCAACACTCTCGATGACTCTAGGAAGAAAGAGCTACTCGCGTTCATCACCGTATTCAAACCGTGGCGCCACTTTCTTCTCGGTCGTCGACGTTTTAGATGGAACACGGACAACAATCCATTGACCTTCTACAAAACGCAGGACACGGTCACTAGCACGATCGGTCGATGGATGTATTACATCGACCAATTCGACTTTGAGCTGTGTCACATTCCCGGTCCCGCCAATCGAGCAGCGGACGCCCTCCCACGAAGGCCCGACCTTTGTGCCCTCGTGACGATGACGTTCCAACTCGACGACGATCTGCAGCAGCATTTCGTCAAAGGCTACAAGTCCGATCCGACTTACTCTATGCTTTATGCAGATCTATCATCGGATCATCCGCCGGCTGGTCATTATCGTACCTCCGACGGTTTCCTACTTCTCCACACGAGAGGGAAGGACTTGTTAGTGGTGCCCCAAGATCGCATCTTACGGACTCGTCTTCTCGGTGAATTCCACGACTCACGATTTTTGGCACACCTTGGCGTGACACGCACATTGGCCTGCCTCCGCCAGCGTTTTCACTAGCCTGACGTTCTTCACGACATCACGAGGTATATTGAGTCATCCGCACTTTGCCATCGTAACAAAGGTAGATCTCAAGTCCCTTATGGCGAACTGAAACCGATGCCGATTCCTCGGGCACGCCGCCTCTCCATTGCTATGGATGTTACAGGCCCGTTCCGCCTCGATCGCCTCGGTCATGACGACATTCTCACGGTCGTTGACCGTTTGAGCAAGTACGCTCGTTTTCTTCCATGCAAGTATCGTGCTACAGCCCCCGACCTCGCTCGACTCTTGCACACCGGCTGGATTACCGCCCATGGTGTTCTGGAAGATATTGTGAGCGACAGAGACACTCGCTTCATGTCTGCCTTTTGGACTTCCCTCATGACGGAGTCCGGTTCAACTATGAAGCCGAGTTCCGCACGACACCCGCAGACGGATGGACAGTCGGAACGAGCGCATCAGACCGCTCAAATGATGTTACATACACTCATCCGTCCCCCAGAAAGATTGGGTTGACCGGCTTCCCGACATCGAGTTCGCCTATAACACTTCGGTACATCCAGCGATCTGCCTCACTCCATTTGAGTTACATCATGGTGGAGAGAAGGCCCGAGTCTTCGTCGATCTTCTTCTACCACGGGCCGCCGACATAGACGTCGCTTGCTCTCCCGCTTCCATCCTGAAGTACCGGGACTTGCTGATCAAAGCCCACGCGAACATGCAAAAGGCTCAAATCCGCATGCAGCAGCAAGCCAACCGACATCGACTCCCATGTCCTTTCCGCGAAGGAGACCTTGTTTGGGTCCTCGCAGAGGAATTCGTGCTCGAGCAAGATGTCTCGAGCAAACTTCTCCCGAAATGGTTTGGACCATGGACGGTAGTTTCTGCAGCAGGTGACGACCTTGTAGGTTCTTCATTTGTGATTGCCATTCCACCGCACCTCCGTGTGCACCCGGTCTTCCATGCGTCGAAGCTGGCCATCTACACGCCACCTTCCGAGGATGAGTTTCTGGGCCGACGATCACAAGATCCGTCCTCTGTGGACGGACACCAGGAAGTCGACCGTGTCATCAGGCACCGCAAGTTTGGCAACAAGCCAATGCAATACGAAGTCACATTCAAGCAATGTGCCCCGGATGACACTCGTTGGATCTCCTGCGCAGACTTATATGCATTTGCACCTCTCATCTTCTCCGACTAAGAGAACCGAAGACTTGCAAAGGACAAAGCTCGTCCCACCCGACCCACCTCGGTATCGAACAGACAACTTCGCCCTCGCAGGTAGCTCGGTCTTTTAAGGGGGGGAGTGTGTTACACACTGTGTCACACGGGCCCAGTTAGGGCCGACAGATAGGGGTTCAGAGGCCGGTCCAGGCCCAAGGCCGGACCTTTAGACCGGAGGCGCCACTGTAGGCCCACCAGTTGGCCTTTAGGCCACAATTAGGACCAGACCAGACGGGCAGGCCCAAACGACATTATCATTGGGCCTGGCGGCGCTCTTGAGGCTGCCGCCCGCCGGTCTGATCTGAATTGTCACTTTTGACGATTCAGATCACGGCTCGGCCTCGCAGCATAGACGTCGGCCTTTCCACACCGGTACTTAGGTAGCAGGAGGCCGCCTGTTCGGGCATTCTGGAGCAGCAGCATTTCGGAGGAGCGCTGCGCTATTTCTGTTTAGAGCGCAGCGCTACAGCAGCAGCGCGAGGTTAGCGCTAGACTGCATTTAGGGAGAGAGAGCGAGCGAGGTACTTACCTGGTACTTACCTGTGGCGCCATAGCTTCCGTGGACTTCGACTGCAGAAGACTTCAAGGCGCCACCTTGCATCCTGCAGGTACGGCTTCGGGCCAGGACAGGGTAGTGAGGACTCTCCTCCCCCCTACCTCACCATCTCTCCCTCCTCCTCTGCTATCTCTTCTTCCTCTCCTTCTTCTTCTTCTTTTTCAGACTCTTCTTCTTCTTCTTCTTCTTCTTCTTCTTCTTCAGACTCATTCTTCATCTTCTTCTTATTCAGATTGGAGACTTTGATACGAGTTGGACAGAGATCAGTGTTGGGATTTCGGTGGTAAGAGGCTGTGATACTTACCGGATTCGGGACTTGGAGATTGTTGGGATTGATACTCGGCGGCATCACAGATTGGACACCGGTTACATTAGGACTYTGTACYTCCGACATTGGTGACTTATTGTCCACGACATTTT